GGACTGATACTATTTTTTTTTTTTGTATAATGGCAAAAGTTAATCGTCGGCATTCTTTTGTTGTACATAGGCCTTTATGGTACTGGGTAGAACTGTAACTAATATTTTATCTGTATGTAATTATGTTGCTAGGTGAAATGGTAATTGAGTTCTCCAGTATACAGTACTGTGTAATGCAGAGAACTTATTGTAACGCCCCAAATTTTGGTAATATTAATTATTATTATTCTTATATATATATATTCATATGTATGTATTGTGTGTATGCATGATTAGATAGGGCTGAAATGGGCTAAGTGCCTAAGTGCAGGGAGTAATTCTGAGTTGTTCTTGCTGCAGTGAGAGGGCCCTGAGAGGAAGGACCAGAACTGTCGCCTTTTCGCTGTAGTGACAAAGTGACAGTTTGGGGTGCAGTCTAGCTATAGCGAGATTCTGCAGAAACCAGAGTGCAGTTTTCTCTTATTTTTTTTGCTGTAGCGAGAGTGTCGCGACCAGAAAAATATTTAAAGGGAGTTAGGATTCGGGGAGGATTATTTCTCCTTCTCCCTTCGAAATTCCTTGAATCCCCTCATTCCCAAAGGCCTATTCCACTGATTAATTGCCTCCAAAGCCGTTCAGGAGCTTGATTGAAGGTTGAATCCGTGTAGGGAACGCTTGGAGGACGAAATCCGTGAAGGGAAGCATTTCTTGCTGAATTTAGCACGTGGGACGTCAATCCAAGGTAAAAGGGGCTCTATCATACTCTTTTGTGCAATGAATTGTTGTTATTTTGCTTAATATTGTGTTGTGGCTGAGTTAGGGGGTAGAAAATTGCTAAGAAATGTAATGTGGGCCATGTGCTGTGATATGTGAATATTATGTGTGTTGACCCGAACTTGATGGATGTGGATTGTATGTAAATGTTGCATGATAGATGAATATTGGCTATGTACCGTGTGATGTGAAATGAATATGGGCCTACTGCCGTATATTTGAATGCAATGTGGGTCGTGTGCCGTGTGTAAGCATGATCATTGCATGCGTGAATGAAATATATGTGTGAATGAGCGTATTAGCGCCATTGTGATGTGTTGTAAATGGTTGAGCGATACACTAGGGGTGTGGAAGATGAGGACGGTAGGAATACCTTGGGAAGGAGAGAGTGGTGGTGACACCGACTGCAGAATGGGTGCACCACAGATCACACACTCTCTTCCTGACTAGACCTCTGACCACTATCTTTGTTGAGCGACCCATGACTGCCCACGTGGTATCCATGAGGCGGGGGTAACCGGCGACCATTCATGGTGTAAATCTGTGATCACAGTACTATAGTAAGTGTGGCTGGTATTCGTATGCATGGATTTCAGCCCTATCTAGTTATGCATACACACATCCATATACTTAATACACATATGAATATATATACATATATATTATAATAAAAATAATAATAATAATAATAATTAATATTACCAAAATTCGGGGCATTACACTTAGTATTGTTGAAAAAAAATTTAACAAAAAAACACAAAAAATTAATAATTAATTACTTACTTAGAATTTAAAATAAATACATAAAAAACTCATTCATTTTAACTAAAGCATGTAAAGTAGTAGAATGAAGAGTATTTCACCACCATAGATTGATTACTCAATGTAAATGGTCTCACAACTAATACCTTTTCATGATACAATAATCACTTCTTACTAACATAAAATCAAAAATAATAAGGATATTTTTGAAGTGCTTAAGAAAATAATAATTAAAAATAAATAAATTAAGATTTATTTTATTTATTAATTCTTCTATATCTTTGAAAGCTTAATGTTTGTGTAAAAGTATAAGATCAACTTAAAAACTCCTATAAGTGTGCATGTAGTGTCTCGAAGGATATTGTTCTTGTAAAAACATTTCAATGCTTAAGTTAAGAAAAATTTCGCTGAGATGGTAAGATAACATACTCACGAATCCTAAATTTATTATTTTATACTTAGCACTGTAATTGTTTGATATAAAAATGCATCCAATACTTATATAGTGTGTATGACGTATCTGATAAAATTGACATTTTGTTAGGAATGTTAAAAAGATCAGGTATTGCAATGGATTTGGATGGAGTGATGAAAACAGAGAAGTTTAGATCAATTATATTAATAATTATTTGTCAAGGGTAGAATGTCTGGTTCGAAGGTCCAATAGAGTAGGTAGTAGGCGTGTTCGTTTTGGCTCCCGAGCATGAAAGATAAATAGGCGTTGCACCATTCTTGTTGCTATGTATGCGAACCTTGACTTGAGAGATTCATCCGATGGAACCCACACTCGAAGGAGGACCACAAGCTCACTACCAATGCCGTCAAGATCAGGTGCAAGCACTGGAACAGCAAGGTAAACTTTTGGATGCTTAAACAATCACACCCTTTCCTGTGATTAAAAAATAAGGAGATCTTTCTATATCACCTAGTAAGAATGTGGAGAAGAACTACAACAGAATGGCTCCACCTACTCAAAACTAGGCGAGGATGTTGGTGGCAAAGAGGTTAGGAATACAGAGATAAAGGAGGAGAGATGGTGGAAGTATTTATAATTTGTTCTTTATTATTCACACTATAAATAATTATCACTCAAAAAATATACTTAAAAAATATTAAACCTTCATTTATTTACTATAAAATCATATCAATGCTCACAAGTTAAAGTTTCTAAGTTATAAGGAAGATGTTAGAATCACTCTCAATGTTAAGGTGTGTTAGATTAAAATAAGTTAGCTAAAAGTTAATTGATTGAATTAAAAATAGTTAGTAAAACTAGCTATTTAACTGGTTAATAAATATAAAATAGCATATAAAGACATCATTATACAAAATTAGAATTTAAAATTTGATTATTATATGTTTTTAATAATTATTATTTTTTATTTCAACTTGTTTAAAATCATTTATTATCTTAAAATTAGGATAATTTTAATTCCCTAATTTATGAATATTTTTGTTAAATAAAATCAAGTGATACAAACATTTTTATAAAGGTATTAAAATTTTATAAATTGAATAGATGAATGAGAAATTAATAAAATACTTTTAACTAGTAGTTGGAAACTAGCATTTTAAAAATTTGTGGTTAAAGTAGCTTAAAAAAATTACTAATAACTATCTATTTTAACTATTTTAAAAAAACAAAAAATATTTTTACCCAGCAACTATTTGAGATAACAATATAAGTATAATAAAATATTTGTAGTTATCATTAAAAATATTTTATTAATTAAATTAATTTTCAATATTTTTAAAATTAAAAGTGTTAAATGTCTATATTCTTCATATTTCAATTTATTTTACCTATATAATTTTTAATTCTACTAGAAAAGAGTAGTGAAAGACAAAAAAAATAAAACCTTAAAAAATCTTATGTTAAATAATAATATCTCTAAAAATTTAATTTTTATCTAACTCAATGATGTTATATAATCTATTTAGTACATCACGTAATGGAGTAAAATTTTGTTATTGTAATTGAGTTTACCTGGATAACAATTTTTTTTCTTATATATATTTTTAATCTTCAGATTTTAGCCATTTTTTAGTATCTTTAAATATATATTTTTTTGTTTTACTCCTTATGTTTTTATAATTTTTTGTCTTTATTCCCGATTACTTATTTGATCCACTAAAATCTTGTCAAATGTCAGTTAGAAAGGACTTGAAAAATTAATATGCTAAAATTGAGGGACCAAAACCAAAAATATTAATTTAGAGAGGCTAAAAAACAAATTCACTAAAATGTAGAGATTAAAAATATATTTAAACCTTTTTTAGTTTAATTTTTTTTCACAGTTCATTTGTATTTACAAACACCTGCCCAATACATAAAGGTAGTTATACAATAAAAGATAAAAAATGGTATGGAATAGAATTAACACAAAAAGAACAAAATACATGAATTCAATAATGTTTTGTCCTTCTATAAATATTTTTCAAATTATTTTTATATTTTATAAAAAAATTATTGGATAAAAATATAAATACAATTAATATCTTAAAACTAATGATCCATTTAGGTTGAAATATACGTAATTTTGGTCTCTTAAATTTTATTAATTAATTAAACTCATCTAAGTAGTTTACAACTACCAATCAAGTAACAAAATATAACACCTAATTCATACATTTAGAAACTTAATATTTTATTTAGTAAAATTTGAAAAAAAAGGAAAATATTTAAAAGAATTTAGGATTCGATATATAAATACGTTGAGTGAAAATTGGGAATTTGATGTGTTTAAATAAAAATAATAATGGAAAAATTAAATTTATTTAATTTTAAAAATTGAAAATTAATTAATTTGATAATAAAATTAGAGAATCAAAATCATTTATAATTTAAAGTAAAGAAATTAATAATGTAATTAAACCAAACATAAAGTAATAAAATGTTTTCGTTTTAGGTAATTAGAAGGATCATTGAAAAAGGTGTTGATCGAAAGAAGATTTAGAATAAAAGCAACCACGGAACTAAAAAGAAGTGCTTGTATTGTAGTACTTTGGAGGTTGCTTCTCATCCGTACCGTATGAATAAAGGGAAAGACGATGGGATTAAGGCTGCCTCAATGGAGAGAGTTTTCCAGCAGAAAAACACTTTGGATTAAGAACTTCCTCAACTAGAGCATTTTAATTTAATTTATTTTTAAACTAATTATTCATTTTTATTAACTTTTTAAGACAAGTTTTGCAGTATAAATTATCTCCACAGCTAATAAATTAAATGATTACATTGAATCTTTAAAAGCATGTTTATTACATTAAAATATATATATATATATATATATATATATATATATATATATATATATGAATCATAGTTATAATATGTTAAGAATATTTTTTATTTTCTATAATTATGTGAAGTTTGTTCCTTTCTCTAATAAGGACCATTGTAATTAGTTCACAATAAAGCCTCTTTCATTCCATGTCATATTTCCTAAATTCCTCATACTTTAAAGAGTATAATAAGTGAGGTGATTGCAAAATCTGTATCAATCCAATTGATAAATAATCAATTTCCTCTATAACAGAAAGATTCCACCAGATATTTCTTTCAACATATTCTTGTAATTACAAAAATCCATTCAAACTGGATACAAACAAAACAACTGCAGAGGGAGAAAGGGCTAAGTGGACCCATGCGATCCCTAGAACTTACTAATGCATAAAACATTTGAACCATGAAAGAAAAATGAAAAGAGAGGGATGGGAGTGGAAATAAGCAAAGGGGAAAAAATGTCAATGCAGACACTACAATTTGAAAGCCTCCCTGAACTTAATGCTGAAACTATTTTCTAGGCCCTTCTTCCCACCCACAGGTAGATTTCCCTTTTGCATCATAGCCACAAATTCATTATAATCTATGCGTCCATCCTGCATATGATAAAACACATTGGATATTAATAATGAATATATTAATATTAGACGTATCAGATTTTTGTTAAAAGTTGTTCAATTTTTTTTAGCAAAACATTGAACATAGAAACAATACATTAGTGTGATGGGTCTCGAAATAGTAGTACACACTAACAACAGAAACATCTTTGTTCTAAACTAGTCATGAAGGACATAACAAACATACCCTGTCGTCACCTTCAACTCTCCAACTATAATAGCTAGCTTTTGTAGTGTGATTTTTCCTAGGTTCTAATCAATTGAGGGATGAAAATTGCTAATTCATACAGATCCATCAAACCAGTCCAACCATTAATGGGGTATCCAAAATAAGCAGAAACAATGATGAATTCATTGAATTGATGCCTCCTTCATTTATTTATTTATTTTTATTCAAACCAATTCTTTGAAAGAAAATAAGAATCATTGTCAGCTGATTCATATAGGATTTTGGTGTACTGAGGAAAATTTTCCACAAAGAAATGTTAATTAGACTCCATCAGGCCAACAAAAGTTATTACAGCTCTCGTATTAACCAAGAGGCAGGTGATCCTTTAATCAAGGGAGGTTTTGAGCTTAAGAAATTGAAGAGGAATTGGCTAGAGAAGATAAGAAAGAAGTACTTTCTTTGTAGCAATAACGCTAGATGCGAAACTGCACAGAATAACAAACCACTTACATTGTCTTGATCAATTTCCTTGATGATATCTTCCAAGTGGACATCCTTTATGCCAAACTCATCACAAGCCTGTTGAAGTTCTTCCTGAGTAATATAGCCACTTCCATCTTTATCAAAGTAAGAAAAGGCTGCAAATAGATTATCTTCTCTTTCAATCTTGTTACGGTGCAATGTTGCGGCAAGGAACTCCCCATAATCAATTGTCCCGCTGTTATCAACATCAGCCTACAATTTCAAGGTACACTAATTCGTTAGAGATTTGAGTTAGTCTATTAAAAAAAATACATCTATGATAAAGTAAAAGTCCAAAGAAACATCATAACCCTTATTCATCCATTTGATTTTTTATTTTTCTTTGTTTTCATGTTAACACCTGGTATATATGACTGAACCTGGTAAATTTTATTTCTAATATCAAAGTTCATAGGTTTGGCATCTGATATATGAATAAGGCCCAATTTAGATTAACTTCTCAATAAGTACTTATAGAAGACAAAAAATAAAAATGAATAATGAATTAAACTTCCTTTATTAGTTAAAATCAACTTATGATTCTCTAACTTTTTAAAAGCTCTCTCATTTAACTTCTCCAAAACAAAAGGTGTATAGTTGATTTTAACTTATGAGAAGAGTTTTAGTTGTTTTATCTAATTATTTTTTTCCTCTTCTAAGTGCTTTTGCATAAACTTACCCAAACTAGGCTTAAAAAATAAATGATACATTTGCCTTCAAGTTAGATGAAAAGGGACTATCTATAAATTTTTTAGGACTTGAAAAAAAAAAACTTGATGAAGAATTACTGGTTCCAATATTACGATAGACCCATTCTTCTATCTTAGGATGGCAGATCTAACTATTGAGGACTAGAGAATTCAAATCACAAACACCCAAAATTTATGTTACATAAGATCTTCACTTTTCATTCTTTTTGTGTATGATCATCTAATACATACCACTTGCTTCTTAAGATACTTACCGCTTGCATCAAATCATAAATTTCAGATTCCTTAAGATTAGCACCCACTCTTTTCAAACCAGCTTTAAGTTCTTCAAAAGTGATTTGACCACTGTTATCTGTATCTATCATCTTAAACATTTCCTTTAAGCCAGCTATTTCTTCTTCAGATAAGCTCTCTGCAATAATCTGAAAAATGCAAAAGGAAGACAAAAGGTGCAAATTATAACATCTCATTTTCACCTGGCAGGGACAAATCCATAATGAAGACTTCCAATCTAACACATAGTGTAACTCCATACACAATTTTATGTATCAATAAAGTCTGGATCACATAACAATCACTTTCAAGCTTCCACATCCAGAGACTTACTATAAGAGCCATTTTCTTAAGCTTGTTCATAGCAGAAAACTGTTTCAAGCGACTTAATACAGCAGAATCCAGTGGCTTGTCAGGAGCTACACCATCAACTTGAATCCAAGGATGACCTACAGGAAATTAAACATATATAAGCAAGAAAAAACAGTCTCTTGGAATGGCATATTATTTCAAATTTGGTATTAATTGTAAAATATGTCCAAACTAACTGGCATGGGCTTTCCCATAAAGCATAGAAATGGTTAATCCACAAAAGTACACAAGAACTGTTATACTTCCCCTATTACTAAGGATAAGCACGATCAATCTTGTAATACAAAAAGGGACTCAACTCACACAAAGACATCACCCATTGCAGCAACATTATTTTAATGCTAAGCAGCTAAAAGAATAGCAATAAATCTTTCTATTTGTATATACATAATAGAATGTCCTGAAGTATGGAAGTGTTTTAAAATGAGCACTTGAGCTAGAAATCTATTTCAAACTGTATACTTCCTGTTTTAACACAAACAATACTGTAAGCAATTAGAATGCATCGTTCACACCCTAAGCAAAATGAAGCCTTTATTGTTTCTTCCAACTTTCAGTGGATGATCAAAACATGTTTAATGGCAAATTAAAGATCAAGTAGCAAAATATATGACATGTCAAGAACATGGTTTGGGAAGTTAGTTTAAGGTTCAATGCACAAATAAAATATTGTCATAGTTAGCAAAGATTGGGTTACAAAGACTTTTCAATGTAAAAGCATATAAAACTTGTACCCAGAGAGTCATAAGGTAAATGGTTGTTAATATAGCATTTTTCCCAGGAGATGTTTGGTAGCTATTTTACATAGCTAGATAATGATGATCTTAGCCTAGAACATGGAAGTGAAAGTCAAACATGGAATAGAAGACCCTTTCTTCATAAGTGACTAACACCAACTGTCACAAGAAGTTCTTGCCAAACCACAAAATTTAATATCAGTATTGTTCAACTACCATATCCTTGTAAAGACCAAAGTAATGCCAAGATCATGACTGACTGAATAATCAATTAGAAAAGCCATATTTACATAGTACTTGATGAGCAGTCAGCCGCCTTCTGGGATCACGAACAAGCATTTTCCTCACTAAATCTTTTGCACTTTCAGAAATTCCAGGCCAGGGATCAGAAGAGAAATCAAGATCACCACGCAGAACCTGTTCAAATATTCCTTGTTCGTTTTCTACACAAATATATGAACCATACAAAAAGGGAGGGAAAATTAATAACGAGTAAATATATGCATAAAATTATAAAAACAGATTTCAAAATTACACTCAATAAATCCAAGAGATCTCACCAGCCCAAAATGGAGGTACTCCACTCAGAAGAATGTAAAGGATAACACCAGCACTCCAAACATCTGCTTCAGGACCATAACGCTTTCGCAATACTTCTGGGGCAACATAATACGGGCTGCCAACCACATCATTAAATATATCACCTGTAAGAAAAATATCATCAGTTTACCACAGAATCAAATTACTTAAAATTGTATGAAGCTTCAGTTAGTGCACAGGTTAATGACACAATTAAACCAATACAATAATTGAAATCTGATAAAGTATATATAAAAGATATTATCTTCAATTCAAATGAATTTACAGTCATATTATATATACTAAAAATAAATGAAGAAAGAATTTGAAAATTAACAGCAACTCAGATCCAACCTAACATTAGTAGACAGAATACAAAAGTCTACTAGGATGCATACCTACAAAATTGCAGGCTTGGCAGCACAGATCAAGGACACGCACATCCAAAATTTAGAACTCAAAACTAGATAGATAATCTATAACATTGCTTTTTACCCAAGAAGTTATAGCACTCCAGCAATAGTATTGCATTGCTTATCCTCAAATGCCAAGTGCCTAGAAATATTAATCCAGTTTTATAAAGAATATGGCATACAAAACATTCAGTAAATCATGAAATTCAAAAGCCTGATTCATCTGTCGATGATATCTCCATCCCCACCCCTGCTCCAATCCTGTCTAAGTGTATGTTTCTGATCATATAAAAATCTATTGAAAGATACTATTTTGGTCTTCAAAAGATATGCTTTTACTCAATTTGGCCACTCAACTTTTAATTTTACCCAGTCTTTATAAATATTTCAATTGATTGCAACAACCATGTCCATCGTGCCTTTAATGTTTTAATTCACCTCAACATGTTTGTCCATATTTCAATCTCATTTTGTAGTAATTGCACCACAAATTTGTGGAGCAAGACCAAATTGAGATGAACTAAAACTTTTAAGGAACAAAATGGTAGCTTAACTGTTTCTGTTTAACCTTAATACTATATAGTAACACCATCCAAAAATACCTGGCTTAAAGAACACAGATAATCCAAAGTCAATGGTTTTGAGAAGTGAATCCTCTTGCTGATTGACAAAGAGAAAATTCTCAGGTTTAAGGTCTCTATGCATCACTCCAAGCGAATGACAAGCTTCCACAACCCCAACTATAGTCCTAGTAAGCTCAGCAGCCTGTCTTTCAGTATAATGCCCTCGTTGGATAATCCTATCGAAAAGCTCTCCACCTGCACATAATTCCATCACAACATGAACAGCCACTGCATCTTCATAAGCACCTTTGATGGATATAACATTAGGATGGCCAGCCAAGTGGTGCATTATCTGAATTTCTCGTCTCACATCCTCAACATCCTCATCGGTTACCAGCTTCCTCTTTGCAATAGATTTACATGCATACTCTCGTCCCGTTGCCTTCTCCACACACAAGAATGTTGTACCAAACTGACCCTGTCCAAGTTTTCTCCCAAGTGTGAAGAATTCCTTGAAGCTTTCAGTCTCTCTTTGCAACACGGAATCAACTCGAAGTCCAGCACTAGAAACTCTCTTCACCGAAGCAGGCTTCTTGTGTTTCTTCTTCTCATGTTGCAGCTCTGGCTCTATTTCTGATTTTTTCTGTTGTTTGGTTTCCGGTTTTGGCATAGTTATCTGCTCAGGAGGTTTGCTTTGGACAGGCAAGGGCGATTCAGGTGCATTAGTCATGTCATCTTTTACAGATTCTCTATTAGACACTGATCCTTCAGGCAATTGGGACCGCCAAATTGCTGCAGAAACTGATTGAACAAAACCATTTTTTGAAATGCTAGGACCAACACATGTGTTCCCCATATTGCTTCACACTGAACAAATTTGTGCTACTGCTATCAAATGCCCAACTTTCATAACTGGGATCTAAGATCCTACATCATCTGTTAACACAAGATACAAGATCTGAATATGAACTTCAAGTCCTTAAATCGTAAGCATCTTAGTCAAACCCCATATACGGAACCAAAAATTTAGCATAAACAACAAATCCAAGGATTCAATATCATCCAACATAAAGAGTGATAGGTTGAACTAGAAAGCAGGAAGAAAAAAACTTTTTAAAAGAAAAAAGAACCTATTAAAAAAATTTAATAGCTAAAGATTGATTTTAACAAAAAGAAAGGAAAAGTGCTAAAAATTTAAAAATTAGCAAGAAAGTAGAAAAACAATGAACACACAAGTTCGTAAAAAGAACAAAGAATAGAACTTTATAGAATTCAAAAGCACTCCTTTTGAAAAAATAGCATTAATCAGAAATTATACATACCAAAAATGACGTTAGCGAAAATAGAGAGATTCAAACACTAGACAGAAAATAAAGGGTAGGAAGTAGAGAGAGAAGTTAGAATGCTGCATAAGAAAGTAGAAGAGGTTGGAAAAACCTTGAGTTTACCTGGTCAGTTGAGGTAGATGAATGGCATAGATGGATAGAAAGTTAGATATACAAATACAACTTTCTGGTTTGGTTTTTGGTTGTGTTGTATCTAATGGACTATGTTCAAGCACTTCCTTTCGTTTATTTCCAAGCTAGCTTGGTTTTTTTTATAGAAAATTTTATTTATTTGTTTTTTTATACATATAAAAAATAGAAAAAAAAAACTTTAACAGAAGACAGGACTCTTTGGTTTTTTTATTTATGAGAAAACAGAGCAATTAAATTTGAATTCCACATTTTTATTATTAAAAAATGAAATGTGAAGATAGTGTAAGAAACGTGTTACTTTTTTATGTAATAACGAAACAATAATTGCACATATTTTAACAATTTATTTTTTTATTATTATTACACTAAATTTTGTATTAACGCATATCAAAGAATTTATCTTGAATCTACTTTTAATTTCTACGAAGAAAGTTAGCACAGAATTTTATCCAACAATAATATACAAATTATTCAAACTAAAATATTTTATTAATATAAAAAATAAAAATAATTAATATAAATTATTAAATTTTATGTAAATAATGAATACTAAAAGATAAAAACACATTCTTTTAAGTATTTGTATAATTGTTAATTATCTTTTAATTTTAATATATATATATATATATAAATAATTGTATAGTCTAAGTTTTAAGTTAATATCTTATTAAGAAAGTTGCTTAAGAAAATAAAATAAAATATTTATTAAAATATATTTAAAATTATGATAAAAAAAATTTTTAACTTTTTTAACACCTTCTCGTTCCTTCTTAAATTTCTTTTAATTTATTGTATTTTTAAAATAAAAATTACTTTTATAATGTACATAATTAATAATAATATTTAGAGTATTGTTAGTTATTGGTTAAAAGATTAATATGTATAATAAATTTGATAAAAATAAATATATTAAAATCATTAAAAATTACATAGATAAGTAATTTTATATTTTAATAAAATATTTGTATTTTTAATTCTTAATTAGTATATAAAGGATATTTATTAATATATTTTTAACAAATATTTTTGTTTCTACCATGTTATATCATTTGTAGCATCTTTTATTTTTAATTTGTTACTGAATGTATATAGTTCTTATTTTTTTATTTGTTTATGTAAAAAAATTAAAATAATATTAATTGATATTTTTATTAGTTATCCTTTATTTATGTTAAAATTTTAATTGTAATAAATAAATAAGACAATATTAATTTTTTTTTTACTAATAATCTTTTATTCATATTAAAAGATTATACTGGTTTAATAACTGAAAAGTTATAAACATATTTATTGATACAATGATATATTAAATAATTATAATAAAATGATTAAATTTTTTAGTTTATATAATTTTTTCCTCTTTATACAAATAAAGAAAATAAAATTATATGTAAAATTAGAATTTATATATATACATATATATATATATATTATAATGATAATTTGTCACATATAATAATGTGCTTAAGAATCTACTTAAGTTGAGATATGTTATATAATATCTTTAATGTAAGTTTAATGATATATAATAAAAATTATTGAATATTATTTTTTATTAAAAATATATAATTTAATATTAATTACATATTAAATTTAATAATTTTTAATAAAAAATTATTTTTAAGTTAACATGTAGGATACAATATTTAAGACGGAGCATGTTTGTGCAAGTGAATGGGAAAGCGCGTTTTAGTCCGAACAAATGCGCTAATCCCGGTTTTTGCGCATTGACACAATTAGCCTTGGTTTTGTTTTCAGTTCAGGTATAGACCACTGTGCTATAAATTATTATAATCACATTTGGAATCAGTCTACTGCTATTTTAAAATGCTTATTATTAATTTTTAAAATAAGTTCTGTACATTAAATCATTTATTAATTAATTAATTAATTTAATAATAACAATAATATTTAAATAAAGAGTGACAATAAATGTATAATAATAACAATAGATACTCTTCATTAATTAAATATTTAAATATTCCATTAATGAGTTGATAATATAAAAATATTTAATCATTTAACTAATTAGTTGACTGACAAATAAAAAATAATAATTAAGTAAATAGATGAATGACAAATGGTGATGGTACAGTTCTAGTAGAGTTTTGTATGGCATATGCTGTAATGGTGTTGGTGATTAGCAATGGCTTAGGGAGCCACCACCATGGTTGGTGATGCACAAATGGATGCCACCCACAAACCTTCAAAACTTGTCAATTGATCAACCTCAGACACAATTTAGAGAGAAGCAAACCAACATTCATATGGTTAATTACTTTCCAATTGAGTGGTGTGAGCACAAAACTATCCCAAAATGACTCATGCTCGCCCCTAATTATATTAATATAATGTTTTAAAAAGTAGCTTAAATGTAGTGGTTTTCCTTTCTAATGATATTTTACTGGTTTATATGTAAATTATTAGCAATTTTTAATAAATGATTTTGTTTTTCTCTGTGTATTTGCACATATGTTACTATGTTTAGTCTATAATAAATCTGTCTAAAATGTGTGTTAAATTAATAATTTCCAATGTTTTCTTAACCATTGGTAATTAACCAGTGTTTTGGTTTTCTTCCACCGGGTTATTACTCTAATTCATGTTAAAAAGATTGATGCTGAAATAATTAACTTAAAAAGCTGAATAATCTAAAAAGCTTATTTTATGTTTAAAATGTTTTTAAAAAATAGTAGAATCAAGTTTGTTAAAATACCAAAATACTTGTTTGAAAGGTTTTAACAGAATTTTTAAGCAATTTTCATAATTGATACACGCCCAAGAATGTATAGTTATAAAACATCCCAATTTTTACTTTTTTTAAACTCTCGTCTTTTAGAAAAAATATATCTTCAAGAAATGAGTGTTTTTTCATGTATTTTTGTTTAAATTATTTTCCTTTTGACTTTATTATATTATTTTATACTGTTTAGAGACCACAAATATTTTTAAAAGATAATCTTGTTTGAAATTGAATAGTATCATAATGAATGACAAAATTTTATTTTTAATTATTTAACACAATTACATTATTAACACTCAAATTAGAATATGCAAATTAAACTTGAACAATCTCATACTATTTAATCTATGTACTTTGTGGTAACTAAATTTTTTATTCTTTTGGTATAGTGACATAATGTATATAATTATAGTCATCCTTATTTTCTTAACAAAATAACTTTTTTTTTTACTTTTAAAATTGCACAGATTTAATTCCTTTGTAGATTTTCTTACACCTTAAATACTCAAATTCTTATTTTTTTCAAAATATTAAAAAATTAAATCAATTAAATTATTTTAAATATTTATTTTCTCAAAATGCATTGATTTATATGTCAAATTTCAGTCAAAATATAAGGAAAATATTTTTTTATTTTCAAACTCTAATCTCACATATTAAAAAATTATTCAAATCTTATTAAAAATTCTCTAATTTTTTTTTATTTTAATATTTTAAAATGTTTCTTTTAATAAATTGATCATAAGCCCCTTAAATATTTGGACAACAAAAATAATTTGAAAATTTTAAGTAGAATAAAAAAAATTAAATTTACAATATTTCAAAAATAAAAAAATTAAACAAAAAAAATAAAATGACTAGAATTATAATTAAATTTAAAAAATTTCAATAGTACAATTTATCTTTAACTTTTTTCGGTATATAATTTAAGTTCCATTAATCTCACAAAGTATTCTACAACGCGTTTGGTTTTGGTTTATTCTACCATTTATGATGTACCTTAATTTGTTCACAATCAATGCGGGCCATTGATCATTTCAATGGGCAACAATAATCCTTGCTATTGGAGAATGAATGCCATTCTGCAAGCCACTACAGAAATCTTCTTCTTCTTTCTTTCATGAACAAATCCATGGACATCATTCCCCTTTTGGACTAAACTATTCCAAATATGAGGTTGTAGCTTTGGAAATTGGTATTAGTACTTTTTTTGGTCATTTATTCTATTTATTAATATTTTTAAAATGTAATTTTCAAAAATTATATCTGAATGAATTTAATTTTTGAAAATTATTTTATATCTATCAAAAATTAATTTTTAGAAGTTGAAAATTTTAATTCTTTTTGAAATTTAATATATAAAATATAACTTACTTTTTAAAATTTAAATTTTGAAAGTGATTTGTTAAAGACCTTTCAAATTTAATTTTGAAATGTTAAATAAATACAGCTAGAAAAATGAATAGTCAAGAAAACAAATCACACCATTTTGGTTTCGGGGCTGTGCATTATTTGGGTCTTGTTTATCATGGTTCAACCTATTTTTTCTTGAGAGCCCCACTAATGAAATGTTACACTGATTCTGTACCATGAAAACAGAAAACACTGGCATAGTCATAACCAATTATATACCACTAAAGTACAATTAGTTAGCTTGGATATTTATTAGGTGGTTATGTGTGTGCCTTGTAAGGTCATTTTTCAGTGTTTGTTAATACTTCCATGTTTTTCTTTTTTTAGGTCAAATACTTCTGTTTAAGATAGAGAATGATGCTTTTGATTTATATTCATGAAGATCTTTAATTATAGGGCACAATTTTGTCTCAAAATATAATAATGACAAGCTATTAAATTTGCTTAATATGCAAGGATTCTGAACAGGTAACACTTGAAAGGTGCTGGTCACCAATTTAGCACTGTATTTGAATGTAGGCTATTAAAAAATGAGTTTTGTAAGGCTGAGGTGAGTTGAAAGCATTAATGATCTCTTTTACTTTTAATGTGAAATATTTGTGGATTGATTAATAATTTGTTAATTAATTGTTCAATTTTTAATTTTTTACTCTCACTTTTCTTTCTCATAATATTATTAATTTTCTTCATATTTAATTTTTTTTCTTTGAAACTACCTTTTTTTTTTCTATGAAAAATTTGACAGTTGCTTCTAGTTGAAATATTAAATGGAACAATAGATGAATGAAAGATGCACAGAAAAATTGTAGATGAACAGTGAGTATGTGACTTTTTTACCGTAATATTTAAAAAAAATTAAAATATTAAAATGAACCCTGCTGCAATTTATTTACAAGACTAGAACATATTTTTTAGCTATCATGAGAATCGAATTTTGAGTCAGCTTTTGTTTTTT